AATATTAATCATACATTTCAAGAACCTCTATCACAATCTACTAAAAATCTAATTTTGATCTCCACCAAACACCCACGATAATTCTTTCAAGTTAGACCCCGCTGCTGAGTCAATTTCAAGAACGTAAGGATGAAATTACGCAGCCATAAAAGCATTGGTTTAAAAATTTTCTAGTAAAGGACCATTTACATTAGAATTGTCAAAATAATTTATTTCACATCAGCCTTTTTGAGAATAACTGTATTTGGTCATAAAATGGCTTTAATTTGCCTTTCAAGTCCTCTCTCGATTTTCTAAGTCTTTCTTGTTTTTTTTCTCATTAGTATTCCAATGTCTCTTTGGTTTGTGATTTCGAGTGAGTTTCATGTCAATTATTTCCTTTAAGCTTTAGATATTTTTTGTGCATGATTTTATACTTTGAATAAAGTAATGGCTCACATTCCATCACAGGCTCTAATCGATCTATGTTCATATTTTACTCTACCACGGAATCTCTAACATCAACGTAATACATGTTTAATACATTGAATTGAAAATAATTGATATTGATTAGAAAAAGACATAGTAGCCTATGTTTGATGTGGAATAAAAGGTGATAAAAGTTGAGTCGGATTTAACAGTTAATTTAAACACACATTTCATGAGACCTGCATTTTTTAACTAGATATTTCATTAATTAATTATCAAAATTTACTAAATATTTTATTTTAATCTACACCAAACACGAGCTATGTGTTGTATTGCTGTCGCTTTCTCTAGTGACTTTCTTATGCATACACAATTCTAAATTATAGAGATATCCCCCGAAATTTATGACAATTACAAAAACACTTCTTCTCGTTTTAAAAATTAGAGAAACATCCCCTCTAATCATAAATTTATAAAATTTCCCTTCAATCTTATGCTATATAAAAAATTATACTTGTTTGTTTATAAATTAAATACTATTCGTGAATGATAATTGTAATCATGTAGCTTTAATTATACCATGTACACATGGGACTTTAGTTCTCTACAAAATAAACTTGAATTTTCACTCTTTTAGTTCAATTTTCTTTTGTATATTCTCTCATATTCTCTTAATTTCATAACATGTTATCAGCACGACGCTCTAATTTTTATTTTTTTAAGATCACAGTACAAATCAAACAAGCTTATCCTCCGTGTTTTTGTTTTCCAAAAGAAAAAAAAATTTCAACCCCACTAAGAAGGAAGGGAAGCCACGTAACCCCAAATGGAATGATCAAATTGTTGGAAATTAAAAAGGAAATTACTGGCTGCTCAGAAACACGAAAGCCATTGTCTCTTTCCTTTGTCATCTGTCGTATTTTATATAAAGGATATACTTGTGTGAATTAAACTTGAACGAACTTTATTACGTTATATTAAGGGTGTGTTTGATAACACCCATTTTCCATGAAAAATGAAATTTCTTTTTCTTTTCCTTGCAAATGTCTCGTTTGATGGCCACCTTTTGCCTTGGAATTTAGCACTTTAATTTTCCACTCACGCACCTAATTCATGGCGTGAAAGGAAAAGGTATTCCCACCTTTTAGGTGGGAAAAAGTTTTCTGAGATCTGTCTGTCATTTTTTTTTAAGTAATGGAAACAAATTTCATAACTAAGTGTAAAAAAAATGTTCACTTTCATAGACAATTTTGATGAAACGAAGGTCAAACGAACACTAAACTTTGATAAAAAAAAGATTTTTTAGGAAACATATTTTTTTTTTACTTTTTGGCAATGGAAACAAATTTTATAACTAAGTGTGGAAAAAATTATCACTTTAATTGACAATTTTGATGCAAACGAACACAAAATTTAAAAATTTTTCGGGTGGAAAATTATACCAATCAAACACACTTAATTAACAATTCCCTGCAAAACAGTTTCTAGACAATTATTTTCCCTGAAATTCATTTTCTTTCCACCTATTTTCCACCATTGCAATCAAACGGACTCTAATATTATAGAAGAATATTATATTATTATTTTTGAAAAATTATCATTTTATAATCAATATTCTAAAAAAATATTTTAACATTGCTTTTGAAGAAGCAAATTTTCCGTATTAGGCCATGTTTGATAGCCTAGAAAATGGGTGGAAAAAGAAAATGTTTTCCAACTTTAACCAATTAAGGGTGTTTGATAACACAAATTTGCTTGGTTTTTATTTTTCCCACCTTTTTTCTAGGTATGACCATTTGATGATTTTGTTTTCCCACATATTAGGTGGGAAAGCAATTTTCACCTTTTTTTTTTTTTTTTGATTTT